CGAGATATTCTCTCAAGTTTCTTGTCCAAGATGCCGTCTCTGATAGCCGCTGGATCGAGGCGAGTTCCTGCCATGTTCGTACCTTTACTCCTTCTCCTCTCCGTCCTTCTTTTCCGATACTTCCTCCTCCTTCTCTTTGTATTCCTCCCCTCCTTCCTCCTCGTTTTCTTATTGTCAATAAAACATTCTCTCTTCCCATTTTCACTTGCACATGTCTGTACCTCCTTGTCGTCTCACGCACGCACTAGCACGTTTCTCTGCCTGCTCATTTTTTCCTAGATGCTTACTCGCTCGCGATTGCTCCCGTACTCGCAATCGTATTCATGTACCTGCGCACTTGCTCGATTCCTTTTCCTTTCTTCTGCGGGGATAAGTCTTGTTGTTGCTCCTTTGTTGGTCTAGCCACTATGAACAACTGCACGTCTTGCCTCCCCTCGACTCCGCTCTGCTTATCCACTCTTGTATGAAGAATCTGTCCCTCAAATCAGGGTAGATTCATTTTCCTTCCTTCACCAGACGACTGAGCCAACCCTCATAGTAGTACCGGACCCGTGTACTAGCGGTTTCTCCCTGTGCTCTAGTGGGAAGTTCGTATCATCCTAGCCTGTTCTTAGTTAGTTAGGAAGGGGGAAGTCGTTGCAAGCGTTCCGTAGTTCGTTGTTGACGGCAGTAACTACTCTCAATCCCACCCCAGGTATCTTCCGCTAAACTTGGGACTATATAGAGCAGTAGTGTAAAGGTCTGTACGAAATTCAAGAGGTCTTAATAAAAGCATAAAATAATAATATAAGAAAAACACAATAAGTAAGTTTAACCGATCTACCTTTAATATGCCCCATGCGGGCAACTGTTGTGTTTCTGTAACGGGAACGAACCCAAATTCCTGGCCCTAGCTGCCTTAACTCTAGTCTACCGGTCGCGGGTTCAAGTACCGCCTGATCGGAAGCGGAGCCAAAAGCAGGGCCTACCTTGATCTCTTTCAAAAGGAGCTTTGCCCAAATGGCAGGATGGACTCAATCCCCATACTTCTGGCCTTTCAGTCCGCACATATACCTACTGGGCTAACTCCTAGTTCAGTTAGGACAGGAGCAAAATTGCCATAAGTAGAGTACAGGGACGACTTTGTTGGTATAGCAGGCCTACGGCCTGCCTTCTTAGGGTCAGTTTAGGTCGGTACCGACCGTTACTGCCTAGTATGGTACGTAGCAAGGTCCTTCATGGCTGTCCTTGCCGCCGGGGTGTACATTAATTTTCCAATTCTGCTTTCGAGTTTACGGCGGAGTATATTGCCATTTTTATCGTATCTCGTCGTGCTTGACGTCCATCGGTTTAACTGACTAGCTTATCTCGTTTACTTTAGTCAAAACCTACTAATTGACTCAGTGTGTTGTTGTCGCATCCCGCACAACTCCTCTCGGCCCTTTGCGACCGAAGGTTTTCTTACTTTTACTAACCCTTATCGTTTGTCGTACGCGCCGTGTTAACACTTGAGGTCACTTAGCAACCTCGGCCTCGGTGGTCGGGGAACCCGTCTCACGTCACTGTGCCAAAACAATCTCTCTTTTTATTCCAGACTGTCCTTGTCACGGCAACTAGCGTCGATACTGTATCGACTGTAAAATTATGAGCAAATACCCTTGTAAGGGTGTTTGCTCCGACAACGTAATAAAAAATAAGGAAAAAAGTTGTTTCTAGCATTTTTTTTTTTTTTTTTTTCTTGTTTCAAATTTATTAATGTCGAAATGGTGTCACACTGTTGCATTTTCTAAACTCAACTTATGAGGTAGGACTCCACCCCCGGCCTCGTTTTGTACACAGTCTGGAAAGGAAAAAAAAATTAAAAAAAGAAAAAAAAAAACAGTCGAAGGTAGAATTTTGGGTACATGTGAGAGTATGTTTTCCCAACGGGCATTACAACCCTGCCGAAATCAAGGAAGCAGGGAAAAAGAAATAAGAACAGGAAAAAAAAAAACTCTTTGGATGTGAAAGCAACTAGATACACAATATGGGGCACCGTTCCACTTGCATACGAATGATGTCCTATTACGACGTGTGCGACACAACCAGAAAACGAAGAAAACTGGTTAAAATGGAAAAAAAAGTGGTAATGTTTGATTCATGCACCCTCACCTGTCCTCGCCCATCCCGCCCTCCCCACCTCCATGCCATCCCCCCAAAAACGTCCAGACTCATGCCACCTGCCAAGGCCCAATGAAGCCAAAGCCAATTCATTGCTTCACTGGGTTGTTGGGATAGAAGTTCTACCTGACGATTGATATGACCAAAACCTTTAGTGTGTCAGATGGGACGACTCAAATGACGGTTTGCCATATTGAAGCGTGCACATTCTTATATTTTGCGTCGAAAGTGAAGTACTTGATGGGTTTGCAATAGACCGGAAAAAAAAAGGAGCTCAATACCAACCCCTTCTAGTACTTGAGTTTTATTTCGTAAAGAGAAGTTATGGTCATAACAACACTCAGAGTTTTGCAGGATAGCATGTGCTTTCGCCAGAGAAGCAGCGCCCCCCTCACCATACTTAATACAAATAGAAACATCATCTATTAAACCACCAGTACCTACCGGTTGTTAAGGCCCGTGGCTCAGGCTAGCGGTAGCCCGGTCATTCCCGAGCCTCGGACAACCGGTAGGACACAATGGAAAAAAAAAACAAAAAAAAAACAAAAAAAACATATAACATTTTGCAAAAAAACAAAACAAAACAAAACGAAATCAGACCTTTCCAACGAGAATGAATCTTCCTCGATAAAGAGGAAGATTCATTCTCGTGAGAGAGAGAGAGAGAGAGAGAGAGAGAGAGAGAGAGAGAGAGGCCGTCAACCAGTGTCTGACGCCGAGTTTGGTAGAGGCTGATGCTGAGTTTGGTAGAGAGAGAGAGAGAGAGAGAGAGAGAGAGAGAGAGAGAGAGAAGAGAACGTCTCTCTCTCTCTCTCTCTCTCCACGTCGAAACGATATCGCGGAAGAGAGAGAGAGAGAGAGAGAGAGAGAGAGAGAGAGAGAGAGAGAGAGAGAGCTCTCTTTCTCTCCACGTCGAAACGATATCGCGGAAGATTCATTCTCGGTTCGACGTGGAGAGAGAGAGAGAGAGAGACGTTCTCTTCTCTCTCTCTCTCTCTCTCTCTCTCTCTTGTTCTTCCCCCCGTTCCCCCGCCCCACCGCGCCTGTTTGTTTTCAGCTGTTACTTTTCATTTTCGTCGTCGTTTTTTTTTTTTTTTTTTTGGGCCCCGTTTTTTGGGGACTACCGGTCGCACGCCGGTGGGTACCCCGCGCGACGCGGCGCGTTAACGGCGGCGTCGAATTCTTCAAGCAGGGAGAGGTACTGGTGGTTTAAACGAGAACCCCATGAATGAGTCTCCCATCATTCCCCAATGAATGAACATCAGCAGTCTCTGCTCATTGCCAGTTGAGGGGATGGCTTCTCTCTAGGTGGCGGGCGCCAAGCTTGCCCAGGAAGGTACATCAGGCCGTGTGGAATGAACCCAAGACCTCCTGAATGCCACTTGCTTGCCTTACCAACTGAGGTAGGCCGGTTGATCGAATTCAGCTTTCTGTTTCAACAGTTACCAAAGAAAAGAAGAGCCCGAAAAAGAGAAGGTCCGAAGCGTTGGTAGGTGGAGTCCAGAAGGACACCGTTGCGCTCGCGCGAAGTGACACAAAAGCGTCCGGATTCAAACATTTTAGGGGTAAGGCTGGCAGTGGTCCTAGTCCCATCGACGTCTGGCCCGATCATCGCGGAACTCTGCCGCTATTGTTACCATATCTTCTACTTCAAGTTCAAGGTTGGCCAAATCTGCGATAACTTCTCGTTGCCCTCTCCTCTCCCTTACAGCGGTGCCCCTCCGCCCTTCTCTTCGTTCTTGACCTTCCCAATTTCTTTCTCTGCTCTGCTCTGCTTATTTCGTCCTCGTGCTTGTTCTCGTAAGCCTTCCATAGCCTCGCCATCTTTTTTCGATCTGTTTGTCAACAGTTAACATTTGTGTAACATTGCAGCCACAACGCAGTGAAGAAAAGGGAAAACGTTTGTGTCATTGTTTTTTCCCTTTTCTTCACTGCGTGTGCTTCGATTTCCCTGTGCATGTCCTCATGCATAACCTCCGCTTTGGCACAATTTATTGTTGTACGTCCAGCTGCTTAGCTCGTTGATACGTAGTTCTTCCCAATCGTCGCCTTGTTGTATTCTGCGGCAGCGCCTGAGAGTCGTTGCCCTGTAAGCTATCCCTCAGTTTTCCACACTCCTTCGGTGTTGTCGAATTGCTGGCTACTTCCTTTGTTTTCCTCTCTCTCTCTCTCTCTCTCTCTCTCTCTCTCTCTCTCTCTCTCTCTCTCTCTCTCTCTCTCTCTGTGCAAGCAGGTGGGAAGGATAAGGATGATAGGGTATAAATTCAGGGACGATGGCTGAAAGGATTACCTGAGCAGTGAGGTAGAAGGGTAGTCGCGACAGTTGTCGCATGCCATGGACAGGACGTGTATACTGCGAAAGTAGAACATCGCACGTGTTGTCTATTATTGCAAGTGTCTCTCTCTCTCTCTCTCTCTCTCTCTCTCTCTCTCTCTCTCTCTCTCTCTCTCTCTCCACCCTCCTGTGTTTTCCTCCTCGTTCGCATGCCTCCCCTTCTCATTCCCCCCTTATTCCCTCCCTTTCCCTCCTCCTGCCCCCTGCTTTCCTCCGAAGAAGGAATGCCCTCTCTGCTGTTTTCTCTGAGGTTGTCCCCACGTGTTCTGCCGTCTAGACATCCCTGATTATGTCGCTTCTCTATTGGACTTGATGTGCAGAGAGCCCGGGTCCCGATACACGTTTGATGAGTAGTGCAACGAGGCGCTATCTTTAGGGTTTAGGGGTTTGGTTTCTGTTTCAATACAGTCATTCTCTCAAGGATGAACCTGATTACCTTGAGGGTTCTGGCGAGCAGCGGATCAGGAATCCCTCCATCATTGCTCGGGCTAGGTGCATGCTTAGGTCTATTATGCTCAGTGCAGGAGCGAGGACGTGAAAACTGGGGTCGAGAGGAGGGAGAGAGGGGGGGCGGTCTCTCATGATCATGGCAGAAGAGAGGAATGCGAGTATCAGCGATGGGAGGAAGAAAAGGGGAGGAGGGGGCGCGGAGGCGCCGGCGGTGGTGGCGCCGTCGGATGAAGAGGAGGACGAGGAGGGAGCAGGTCGGAGACACAAGCGACTACGTCTAAGCGTGCGGCGACGCGATCGGGACCGGCATCGGGGTCGGGATCGTGGCGGAAAGAGAGCGATCGGGTGGGAACAGCACGGAAGGCATGGCGACGATGTCGGGGAGATTGATTCTAACGGAGGCGGCCTCCACGTGTCAAGCTTGGGTGATCATGCACGTGGCGGCGGAAGCGACTCATCTTTGGACGCGGCGGCGTCGGCGGCGGCAGAAGCTGAATGTCCTCCTGCTGATTGTCACTCCGATCTCTCTTCGCGTCCATTGGAAGGGAGGCGCCTGGGGTTGGACGGAGCTTTAGCAGGGTGGTGTTCCGCAACGGGGGGACCAGCAGGAGGAGGAGGAGGAGGCGGCGGAGGGGAAGGGGGAAAGGTACAAAGAGCCGTGGGAGTCGGAGGAAGAGGAGGGTGCACAGGAGGAGGGGCTCGAGAGGGAATGCAAGTGGGAGGGGCTCGGGAGAGAATGGAAGCTAAGGGCAGCAGAGGGGCAGAGAGAGGATCCGGCACTGCAATCGGGGCAGGTGGAGGGGGAGACGCAGTCTTTTCCCCACAGAAAGTGGGGCGGAGGCGAGCGATCGGGTTGAATGCTCTGGGGATTGTAAATGAGGGCGCCACCCCCTCCACCTGCCCGGTCCTCTCTCCTGATGCCGGCTATTATGAAACCAGAAGTCGCGAGATCGAGGACGAGGAGCGAGAACTGGTTAAAATACTAAATTGCCATCGACAGGACGGCGACGGCGGCGTTGGCGGCGTTGAGCAGCAGGGGCCATTGCCACCATGGCTTCGTCCCGCTGTGGGTACTTTTGCGGAGATTTTTGTCCCAACGACACGGGGCTTGAATGCATGCCAGCTCTTGTCGGGAGTTGAGGTGGGTAGTGATTCAGGCAAGGGGCATGTACAGCAGCACCAGCGCTCTCGTTTGACGATTGCGGGATCGCCAGAGTCGGGGTCTGTATCTGTTGGCGCGCAATGTTGCGGTTTAAAGACAGCTGGAGGCGAGATTGGAAAAATGATGATGTCTCAAGGCACGCAGAGAAAAGGGGATGAAGGAAGAAGAGGGGGAGGAGGACGATTGGGAAACAGGATAGTAGAAGGGAAAAGAGAAGGGGAGGTAGGAGGAGAAGTAAACGGGAGGGGAGGAGAAGAGAGAGAAGGCACAAGAAGCAGCACGGGGAAAGTCGCGCTGCAACTCGTCAAGAGAGGAGGAGGAGAAGAAGGAGATGGCGTGGTAGCTTCTCCATACGGATCTCCAGAAGGCGAGCGAGAAAAGGGTCCAGCAGAGGCAGAGGGAGAAGAAGGGCGAGAGAGGGAGAGAGAAGGGAGACAAGCTGTAATGGGAAGAGAAGGGAGAATAGAAGAAAAAGAAGGGAGAGAAGGGGGAAGAGAAGAAAGAGAAGGGAGAGAAGGGGAAAGAGAAGGGAGAGAGTGCGGAAGGTACTGGAGAGGAGGGGGAAGAGAAGGGATAGAAGGGGGAAGAGAAGTGATAGAAGGGGGAAGAGAAGGGAAAGAAGGACGTAGAGAAGGGATAGAAGGGGGAAGAGAAGGGAAAGAAGGTGGGAGAGAAGGGCGAGAAAGGGGAGAAGGGGGAAGAGAAGAAAGAAAAGGAAGAGAAGGGGGAAGAGAAGTGAAAGAATGGGGAAGAGACTGGAGAGAAGGGGGAAGAGAAGGGATAGTAGGGGGAAGCGAAGGGAGAGAATGGGGAAAAGAAGGGAAAGACCGAGGAAGAGAAGGAAGCCAGAGGGGAAGTGAAGAGATAGGAAACAGCATTAAAGCCTGCGATGCAGTTCAGAAATTGACTTTGAGTACCCGGAGCGATGAAAAGACAGCGGTAGTCTCCTGTTCCGACACTGTGGGACAAATCTGTATGGAGTTCAGCAGCAGGAGTACCGGCAGCAGGGAAACCAGCTCGGTGAAAGTTTACAGACGGCGAGAGCGGCGAGAGGAAGGGCGGGATGCTTTGAGAAGCCAAACATTACCACAGAGAGGTTCATTCTCCCCCTCCCCGTCTTCGTCAGTCCCAGCTTCCGCTCAGCCTACCGGTAGTACTGAAGGAGACGACATGAATGCCTCCCCGTCTTCGTCAGTTCCACCTTCCGCTCGGGCTAGGACTGGGGGAGAGGACATGAATGCCGCCCGGATCAAGGACAAGAGATCCAGTGAGGGTGGCGACCGTGCGATGTGCTCCGAGTGCATCAATCATCATCCGAGTGCTGATCCGCGTGTTCAGGAGACTGCTGATGATAGCAGATATGAAGACGCAGAGTGTGGAGGGAGGAAAAGGCAGCGACTCACAAGCGAGAAGGAAAACCTCACAATGCACTTGAAGGAAGACGATCAAGTCGAGGATAAATCTGGAGAACGCGGCCTTGTTGGGCTTATCTTCATGCCTGCTCGACCCAGGAGGGGTCTGGAAGAGCTGCAGACCGCAAATGAAGACGCATTGGGCCTAAGCAGTGGCCACGTGGAGGGCCTTGCGAGTGGCGCAGAAAGAGACCTCCTGGAGAGGGCAAAACAGGGTGAGCGACGAGGGGAGCCATCATTGAAGCAAGAATGCAAGGAGGAGCTGACGGAAGAGATGCATGGAGCGCAGGAAGAGGAGGAAGAGGAGGAAGAGGAGGAAGACATCGTCCAGTTCTGTAGCCAGATCCCGGTTTGCGAAGATTTGGGCAGTAACGACGCTGTTCGCTTGCAACGTGGCTGGATGGGAGGAGGTGAGGGCTCAGAAGTCACGACCTGGAGGGGAAGTTGCCATGGCGATGAGAACAAGAACGGTGACATTGATGGGAACCGGGATGCCTCGGAGGAGTTGGTCAGGATCAAGCATGGAAAACGTCCCTTTGTGGCATGTGCACCCGTTACCCTGGCCATGCATTCAGCTGATGTTAATTGTGGACTTGGAGGAAGAGGAGCAGGAGGAGAAGGAAGAGGAGGAGGAGGAGGAGGAGGAGGAGGAGGAGAACGAGGGGGTGAGAGATCAAGTAAAGCAGTAGGAAGGATGCATTGTGGAAGAGGAGAAGCAGGAGAGAGTAGGAAAAGAGAGGGAGGAAGAGAAGGGGAAAGGGGAGGAAGAGGAGGAGAGGGAGAGAGAGGAGGAAGAGACGGATGGAGAGGAGGGGCAGAAGGGTGGATGGATGGGAGAGGAGGGGGAGAACGAGGAAGAGAGGGAGGAACAGGAGGACAAGAAGGAGAGGGAGGAGCGAGAGAAGAGGCAGGTAGAGAAGAAATACCAATAGCAGTACAAGCGAGTGCTGGGGGGCAAATGGGGAGTCGAGGGGCAGAAGTGTGGATAGACGGGAGAGCAGGGGGAGAACGAAGAAGAGAGGGAGGGACAGGCGGACAAGAGGGAGAGAGAGGAGGAGGAGAGGGAGGAGCAAGAAAAGAGGCAGGTAGAGAACGAATACCAATAGCAGTACAAACGAATGCTGGGGGGCAAACGGGGAGCCTTGACGGACGTGATGTCGGCGACGGTCAGGCAGCGATGGCCGTTGGACCGATGGATGATGAGGTCCGCAGCGGCAATGTCAGCACGGGTCGTGCAGGAGTTTCGCTTTGTCCTGTTGCTTGGACTGATGAAATTGGACCTTTGAACGAAGACCCGGACAATGTCACACCTCAGAAAGCGGGAGGAGAAGCGAGTACTGACGTGGCTCAGTCGGCTCATCGTTCCGTGGTCGTGGGATTGGATGCAGGGTGGCGGGAAACCGAAAGGGAGGCCCGTGACAAGGACACAAGTGATGGAATGCTCCGCTCTGCCGCAGGTGGGGACAGTTGCGGCTCAGTCGAAGATGCATTGGTTGAAACGGACGGTGCAGATGTGAGATCTAGGGAGGTGGAAAAACCCTCGAGGAGTGGGTTCGGTGGAAGGTCAGCGGCTGATTTGCAAAAAGAAGATGTATTGGGAGTTGGGGAAAGGAGGAGGGTCCATGCAGCTCCTGAAGGATTGAGAGGAGTGGAGGGTTCTCCTCCGACAACTGCTGAGATGCAGCGAGTTGTAGATCCAAGCGATCAGGCAGGTGCACATGAAGCTGAGCCTCAAATCAGCATGGGGAGAAGGGAGGATAGTGGAAGGGATAAGGGGAGGGAGGAGAGGTTGAGAGCGTTGGGGAGTTCTTCCCCGACAGCAGCTCGGATACGTGAAGGTGAGATGGGAATCGGCATGGAGAGGAGGGACGATAGCGGGAGGGATGACGCAGGGGAGGAAAACAGAGGAGGTGCAGGTCGAAATCCTTCTATTACGGCCATTACAGATGGAGGCGTCTCCGAGCTCCGAGGTGATCCAGCAGCAGCAGCACGAGAGGGAGAGGGAGGGATGGGAGAGGGACGGACGGAGGAGGGAGGGGAAAGACGAGGAGGAGGAAGCGGGAGCAATGCCACAGAGCGAGGTGATGGAGGGTTTCGGGAGGGAGAGCCATCGCTGGCTATGGCTGCCGGTGGAGCAGGAATGGAGTGGTTGACAGTAGCGATCGGTGGGCCAGCTGTGGGAACCAGTGAGCCATTGCTGGCTATGACTGCTGCTGGAGCGGAAGCAGAGCAGTCGACAGTAGCTGTGGGTGGGGCGGCTGTGGGAGGCAGCGCGGTTCGCGGTGGTGATTTGCAGGGAGTACGGAGAGAGAGAAGTGTGAGTGTTGGACCGCCTGTGATTGTCATTGACGATGAAGAAGAAGATGAATTTCAGACGGAGAATTTTGAAGGGAGAGAACCATCACATGTTCGAGAGGTGGGGGATAATGCGAATAAGGCAGGAGGGGGCGGCTCATCCTGTTGTCAGCACGCCGTGCACAACGGGGAGGTGGGAGGAACACAGCGCACACGAGGTTCACTGGATGCTGATGGTGCCACGTGTATGATCTGCATGGAGCCCTGGACTGGTACCGGTAGTCATCGGATATGCTCCTTGGGTTGTGGCCATTTGTTTGGCCGTTCCTGCATTAAGAGGTGGTTGAAGCAAGGCGGACGAAGAAATGGCAAGTGTCCACAGTGTCTACGCAAGGCCAGAGTTGAGGACTTGAGGAATCTTTATGTGCCTCGGATCGCCGTAGTGGATGCAACACAGCAAGGCCAAGCCGCAGAGGAATTGAAGGCACTTCAGCTCGAAAACCAGCAGTTGAAAAGGCAGAATGCTCAGCTACTGGAGGAAGCAAAGCGAATGGAGTCCCTGTTAGAATTCCTCCATCCTGAACAACTAGCAGCATTTCGTGGCTTGCAACAAAGTGGCAGCGATGATAGAAGCGGTCACTCGGTTGGTGGGTTGGTTGGCTCTTCCAGTCATCATTGGGAAAGTCTGAGCAGGTTTCGGCGTGAGCGAGACCAGGGCCCACGAATCTCCTCTCGTCCCTCAGGAGATTGCCACCATCATCATCGGCGATCACCACTGGAGCTATCCTCTCCAGCAACAGGGAATAACAGCCGGAAAGCTAACAACCCGACTGTTCAGAATCCGAGTCAAAGGCCCTGGAGTTCAAACCCATCAGACCATTGCGTTAGTGCTGCTCAACGGTCTGAAACATCCTCCCTAGCCTTGGGGCAGAATGAGAGGTTAGCAGAGCCGGGGAGGGGATCGGGGGCGGCATTGGTGGAGTCGCTACAACGACAGGACCGTGTGCCAACCCCCATACAGAATCGAAGCGGCGGAAAGAGTGGCGTTGGCTCGAGCGGTATGGCTGCAGGTACTGTGATGCAAAGAGAGACAAGCTGGCCCAGGGGCACACGAGAGGGTGGAGCTCAGCCGGTGAGCTCTGTGACGACAGGACGGAGTGGAAAGGAGCAGTTTCCTGCTGCTGATGCAAGAAGGGGGGAGGTTAGTGGTTCGGCAAGGCTGCCTAGGCAGCGCCCGTGGTATGCCCAACATGGAACTGGCTTCGAGGCTGCTCAAAGATGGGAGCGCCCATCCCTCCAATCCCTTAGATCCTCATCATCTCTGGCAAGCATAGGAAGCCGTGGTCTTGAAGGCACATTTTCCTTGCAGGACGCACTTCCTGTATCTGGCGCACGGGTCTTCGACATGGATGCCGGGTCACAGCTGCTGCTAGTGTCCTCAAGGAGAACCACAGAGGGAAGTTCCGGATTCTTTGGGCTGACCAAAGTCAGCCTGTTGTCGATTGGATGCACCGACAAGATTTTGCTCCCATCAGAAGTGGGAGCAATACGAGATATCCGGTTTGCCCCTCCTCTGCCTGGTCGCCCGCCTGCGAAGTTAGCACTTGTAGCATCTCTGGGAAAACGGCTAACCCTTGTGAACACAGAGAGCAACAGTGTCGTGTTGTCGTATAGTCTTCCGGCAGCTACATGGTCCTGTGCTTGGGATCTGAATAACCCCTATCAGATGTATTCTGGGATGCAGAATGGGTCCCTGATGATCTTCGATTTACGGCAGACGACAGGTCCATTGGCGACCCTAAAGGGATCAACTCAACAGCCTGTTCACACCTTGCAATATGTGGGTCAGCCCCATGAACATCGACATTCAGCCCGGCAGACTCTAGACGTCCTTTGGTCAACATTGCCTCAACAGTCGGGCAACGACAATCATCAATGCCAGCAGCAGCAGCAACAGCAGGGACAATGTGAAATGACAGGTGTGCTCGCGGCGTCATTCTCAGAAGTAAGTTTCTGGGACGTATCTGCAGCTTTGAGTCGAGGCGGTGGAGACATTTATCGTCCTTACGTGCTGCCGTCTATACAGCCCAGAGGCGTCTGCACATCTCTGGCCTTTCACCAAGGAAGTTGGCTCACTGTTGCTTCCTTTAGGCCCACACCGCAGAAGGGCACACTCACCTCATCTGTAGTTAGTTGTACCCCTTCATCATGTTCTTCTTTGTTCTCTGGGACCAGAATTCTTCCCGCCGACGGTATCGCAACGCCCTCATCCTCCTCAGCGCCTGCTGTGGAGGTGGTGTCTGGAACACCACACATACCTCCTCCATCACTTTCAGAGGCTCTTTTGAAGAGCACACCAGATGTAAACCATGTGAATGAGTCGGCAACTGGTGGCCACCTCGGCGAAGCGACTGATCGAAGGGGAGCTTGCAGCTCGCCATCCTCGGATTCAAGTTTTCTAGAGCATGGCGTCCATCATGTATATAGGAGGAGGCTGCCGACTTCATTGCCATTTGAAAGCAGTCGCTTAGGTAGCACAGAAGGAAGAGTAGAAGTTTCAGCATGCCAAGATGAAGGATTAAGACCAAATGGGAAGTCGTTCGTTACCTCTGTCAGCGGCAGCGACGGTAATGCGTCTGTTGCGGAGAGCAAGTATGACAGGGTAGAGTGGGTTTGGGAACAGGACTGTGCCATGCTTGGCCATAGGAACCATACTGTCATGACAAGGTCAGCGTTGTTCTCGAGTTCGTTGCCCATTGACAGGTCGCTTTCGAATGGAAACAGCAGAGGGATCTGTGTGCGTACTCCGGAGGACGGACAGCAACAAAACCTACTCTTTGCGTATGGTGATGAAGCATCGAATGCGCTTTGGTTATGGGACATGGCTACAGGTCAAGTCATCCATAGACTTGTGCCTCACGAGTCGCCTGTCCTTGATGCAAAGCACATGCATGTATGGGGTACGGATCGAGAGATTCTTGGCTCTCTCAGTGAGAAGACATTGCAATTGTACATAAGAGTTGGAGGCGAAAGCCACAATAATGTTCGGTATCATCATTGTGAAAAAGGGATTGGAAGCAGGAGCAGTGTGAAAAGATACTGAAGTTTGGTGATTTAGATGCTCTGTGTATCAGATCGTAATTGTCCCGCAAGAAATAACGGTGACTTCATTCTAGGATAATCTGAAAGGAAAATCAAATCTAAAAAAAAAGACAAACACAGTGAGAGAGGAGGACATTCTTGTTCAGATCTCATCTGGGTCCCCAGCATACTTTTCTCTGCCCCACCCACACCTCCATCCGTCTCTCTCTCTCTCTCTCTCTCTCTCTCTCTCTCTCTCTCTCTCTTGTCTCTTATACACATCTAGATGTGTATAAGAGACAGGTCTCATAGGGCAGGTGTCCAACCCATACATTGG